GACTTGTACGAGGGGGTCAACTTAATCGACCACTTGACATAAAGAGTTCTTTTCTTCCTTGCAGCTAAGTACTCATTCCTTGAAACGGGCTCTCCAACTCCTGGAATCGATACAAACACGGACAGAGGTTCTCTATGCGGATATTGCCGATCCAGGCGAAGACATCCTCACTCTGGCCATCCAGGCCGTATCCAGCATCATCGGGGCTTCCGTGGAGCGAGCCGACAAGCAGGGTCCAGAGACACTGACCATCCGTGCCATGACCGTGCTGGACAAACTGCTTCAGGTATTTCTCAGTGGGATGTTGAAATTGTAGTTGATAGCTATCTATAGACACTTTGTCCTGCTTCAAGGAAGGAGCTCTTTCAATGTTAGCTGGAAGTGTGAGACGAATGCTTCTATGGGATTTGCCATTATTGATTAAACATTGGATGACCACTTATACCATTTGTAGCAGAGGTGGGATCTTGGGTGTCCATTGATTTATGTGTTCCTCGGGACATAGATGTTACATTGCTATGCTGAAATGTTAGTATTGATTTGTTTATTAATCTGTCGAAAACTACTAAATGTCTGAAAGAGCTGACAAACAATTTATCATCTTTTCTTGTCCAGACAAAGATAGGATCCCATGATTGAATACTTTAACTTGGCAAGAAATCATGTCTGTAGGTCCTGATGTTTCCAGGAACTTTAGTCCACAGAGACCATTAAATCCTGATAGTGAGCTTTGTTAGCCATCTTTTCCTTAGAGATAAGAAGTGCTCACAAATTGATTTATTGTAAGTTTGTTGGTTGCAAATATTGAGGAAAGTTTATAGCTTGTTTAGGAAGTTAGTGTAAGGGATGAATTGACAACACCAAGGTGTAATGGACAAAGACAAGCATGCAGGTAATAATTTATCCTGACATTCTGGTTCAGTGTGTTATGAGACATGATATATGGTGAAGATAAGAAGATCTTGTACCACAGTGTTTACCTTAGAAGCCCCTTGTAAACTTGGCGAGAAACAACGCTGTGTCATCTTCTTAATGGGTGTTTTATCAAGTAGGGTGTAAATTGAAGTAAACATGATGTTGATCATCACAAACTCATGCTACCACGTTGTTATGCCATTATGTCCTGAATATTACCAGTATTATGGTCCTTTTAATTATTTGAAAATCAAATAAAATGTGTACCTTTTATTAGTTTTGTCCCTCTATGTGTTTGAGTGAATTATGGACCTGCACCAGGATTCAATAAGCATAGCTATCAAATAAGGTGGAAATGGAAGAAAAGAATAAATAAATAATGCTTTTGTGACAAGTATAAGTTTGACATTTGAAATAAACCCAATAAGACAGCGTAACCTCTTATAAAATAAATGTAAAAAAAACTTTGGTTATTCACTGCGTGGTAAAACATTTATACAGTATGTCTTTGGATACCAGAAAATCTATTGAAGTGAAAGGCACTTTTCTCCTTGTCCTTCACCAAGAGCACCTCGTCTGTTCTCTGTCTGTACTGTAAGGTCTAGTGAAAACATAACTGTTTGTAATAGCTGTTCACTGTCTGAGTTGCTTCTGGAGCTGGGATGTCTGTGAGCTGACAAAGTCCAGCGCCACGAGTTGTTGATGGACCGCTGGGCTCAATATAGTCCCAGTGCTTTAAAATCATAAGATGGATTGTAGGAGATAAATACCTGATCAGAGGTGAGAATCGACTGGTCTTTTCTGGGAATAGTTTTGCTTCAAGTCAGACAGGCTGTTGTTCCGGATTGTGGAAGAGGTGTCTGAGATGAGAGAGAAACTGCCTCTTGAAGCTTGTTGGTCCGAAACAAGAGACTCATCACTTGGTACAGCATGGAAACTGCTTTATCCCAGTCCTTTAAACTTGTGTGAAAGACTTGTGCTGGAAGGAATGAATCGATGGTGGTGGTGGTAGTGGTGGTGGTGACGACGACGACGACGACGACGACGACGATGATGATGATGATGATGATGATGAAAGCCAAATTGATGGTATATGCACTTTGAACAGAAAAAAAAGAATCAGTCAAAATCTACTTTGTACCAGAATTGGAATCAGTTAGTTGAATCAATGTCTCCATGGAAGCCTCATGGGTTGTTATGGCCTGAGAGAACGTTCCAGTCCAATCTCCGCCAATGCCTACTGACATACGAATGTTCCTGTTTGGACGTTTGACCGATTGCCTGACAGTGTTTTTTTGTGCAATTCTCCAGTCCTATTGACTCTGAAGCGCTTTTTCTCTCTTTCATCGAACTGAAGTTGTTAAGATCCTTTCTAAAGACTCCCTATAAGTGTCAAAATTCATTCTGCTTCATTGACAGTACCAAGCTATCTTTCAACAAGAACAGATTTTTTTTCTGTCCATGACCTTTCATTTAAATTTTATTTTGCATGAATGAGTTTGCTGAAAGTCTTAATCGCTCCTTTCAGGCATTTTATTGACTTTTTTTCATGGATGTGGTAAAAGCAGTGCATAATAGATAAGCTAAATTTTTCCATTTTGGACTTTTAATTTTCGTTTAGTTTGCGTTTCTGTCAGAAAGTGTTGATGTTTCTACTGATTTGAACAATTTAAACATGAAGGGCAACTTCAGCCATATTTAGAAGAAGAACATTAGTATAGTCTGATGGCAATGTCTGACAACTAATTCTCCCCCCTCCCTCCCCCTCCGGAATCAGCTGAATTTATCACATGGTTACCCCATTCTTCGAATAGACTAAAAGAGGATATTTAATTTAACTATGTCATAAATTGTTTATAAGAATGATAAATGTAACATAATATGAGGGAATAGCCACTACATCAAGAGACAATACGACAAGGACAAGATGGACTGATGGAATAGGATACTTGCAAGGTGAATAAAAATAAAAATCTGAATCTAAATGTGAAATTGATACCATAAGAATTCAAATCTTTCATCTATTATTTTTTTTTTTAATATCTAGAAAAGTAGGATTATGTTTTTTTCACTTTTTTATACTGGGTTAAGCTTCAGGCTTGACGGGTCTGTTTATCATACCAGAGGCATACGGAGGAGTATAGACTGAGTTGGCAAAACAACATTACAATGTACAACATTAAACATTGGTGGGAGAGTAGGTGAAGTTCTTATTCATTTAAATTCAGAGGAATTTCATAAGGTATTTTAACATTGCATTCAATGGGGTAATGTAAAAGCACACATTAGTATTGACCATTTCATTGGTCTAGTCATTTATGTGTGAAAGAGAAGCCACTCCACAAAGCTGATTGTTAGTTATTTCAATATTGAATTGAACTTGGAATTTATTACTAAGAATTTTCACCAACATCTGCTGCAAACCTTGGACTGAATGACAGCCTGTTAGACAGGTTAAGTTAAATCCTGCATACACTCATAATTTCTACCAGATTTATGTTCACCATAATGTGTTGATGTAGTTTTAATGAAGACACAATTGACTAATGGATATCAATGTCTATTGTTTCTTGCTTGCATGAAACATCACATTTAGATTTAAAGAAGTTAATATCCACAAGTCATCCTGTCCTCACTGATTGAAAAAGAAAATCAGAATAATTACTGCCGACCGTTCCCTCGCTGCCTCTCGTGCTGTGTCAGTGTACCACCAGCCCCAGCTGTGGTCTTCATGCAGGAAGGTGCTTCATTCATCCGCTGGAAATGTTCAAATCTCATGTCTATGTTATTTTACGGCCTTGTTACAAAGAAGCTATTAGGTCAGTGACATTTGTTTTCCTGACAAGCCACCATTTAAGTTAGCATTTTCATCTGAAGCCTTTCTCTGCCTCTTCTTCAGGTGGAGCTTAATCATCACTCAATCGGCGAAGCCCCCATCAAGCGCTCCGCGGAGTTTGTGTCAGTGCTCGGGTCCCGGTACACACCCAAGTTGTCCACCATCATCAACATCAATGCTGCTCAGTTTAAACTGCCATCCAATATGGCTGCCATTACTCAAACAGGCAGAAAAGTTGGCCCAAATCAGGAGTCAAGTTCAATGAATGCTGAGTGCTTTCAGGCTCATATGACTTCTTTCAAGAAAAATCCATTTTCCCATCTTGGTGACCAAATTTGGAAAGTAAGTAACGACTCAAGTCCCGACAAACTGAAGGATATTGAGAATTGATTTAGTGCTGACAGGGTGATTAATACGCTAGTCTCATGCAGAAGTTTGCCATTTTCGCTGCTATATCCTCAAATAATTTCCTAGCAATTTGAAGTTTTTGTTGTGAGTAAAAACATACTCTGCTGCAGCTTGAGGGGCCGTGATGCTATATCAATACTCAATAGCGTTAAGGCAGTGAAGTTGATCAAATACCATGTTGGCAGGCAGAAAAAAAGAGAGAAAAAAACAATTACATTTCAGTATTTAGCTGTTTAAATTTTTAACGTTCAATAAGATCTTATCAAATTCTGTCGGGGGTCCAATTTATTTGTTATAGCTTCAGCAAGATTATAAATGAAAATTTAGATTGGTTCTCTTTAAACAAAATTATGCTTTGTCTGCTGACTATTTTCTGCAATCTTTCAATAGTTTTGAGGTTTTTGTAAAATGAAATACGAGATATTTCAATTGGAACCTGGTCATTGGATATAAACACATAATTGTGTTTTCATCATTATCTCTTAAATCAGACCAAATTGATCTGCTCTTAGAAGGAATATGCTTTTTAGGCTTTGTAGGTTTTTATTATGGTTAGTAAATTAGAGAATTTTGCTGGGATAATTTATTTTTCTTGACAGAATAATGTTGCAATGAGAGTTTAATCTTTCGAAATATTGATTTAGGATTTTTTCCAGTCTACTGGATCTGAAGAATATAAAGTAACTTTGATTGACAGCTTGACAGTGTTTACTTTAATTTTTAAACCATGTAAAATGTTTGAATGATCTTCAAGGATCAAGGAGTGTTAATAAAATCATGTGAACACTAGTTTATATGTGGAATATATTTGTCATCTCCAGGTGGAAGCTGAAGTGTTGGCCCTCAACCTATATTCCTGTGATGGGCAAAACATTTTTGTAAAAAACCTACCCTCTGATGCTGAAGTCTTTATACAGATTCCTCAGCAAGAACGAGAAGTAAGTACTGTAAATATATAATGTTCCATGTAATGTTAATGCAAGTGGCGAACAACAGTCGTCACTGTCGGGACAGTTTTGCGACAACTTGTTAAGATTACAGACGATGAAAGGTACTTTTGCAGGTGTTAAGTTTTATAGTAGGAAGAAATGTGATGAACTGGTAGTCAGGCAGGTCTTTTATTTACTACAGAGGCATGTGTTGTATTAGTTGACAAGTGAAGTGGATTGTACTGACAAGTAGAGTCAGATCAGGATGTATATCTACCTGTACTGACTGGCATCTTCACAAGGTAGTACCAGGGCAGGGAACCTTCTGGATTGGATTGTTGACAATGTGGAATCAAAGAATCACAGGATGGGAGGAATTACATTTTTAATTGTGGACCAGTTTGACAATGTGTGGAAGTCTATTAAAGAAATAAGTCTACCGGTACATTTATTGTTTATTGTTGGTCTGCCAAAAACATGCTTCATTGAAACTGTGTGGGTGACACTCTCAGGTTTCACAGTCCTTTCACTTTCGCAAAACTTTCCAGATTGACGAGAAAGACCAAGACTGGGAAAAGGGTATCTGATCCATCAGATAATATTGTGCCGTCATTCTCATGACTCTATCATTGATTAATATCTATACCATATTTGCCATACTACCCGACCACTTGTATAGACTTTTAAGCAGAAAAAAACAGCACAGAAGTGGCCTTGTGGCTATTGCCAAATGTTTCATCAACATTTGAACCAAGCACATCCACTCCTGAGGAGTTGCTTATGGCAAATACAGCATTTGGGAAATATTGTCAACATCAAATTTAACTTGCATCAAAATAAATATGCTCTTGTTTTAATTGATATCTGTGAAAGTGATGTAGGGCTCACATAGTCACTCACAATATCAATATGGTATGCTTGTCACAGTAGGATTGTTTCCCTTTAGTTGAAAATTGGGAGTTATCTCCCCTGTTTAGTGTTTGTTGGCTGTGCCTAAGATTTTGGCTCAAACCTGCAGATAACAAGGTGAGCAAAGTTTCAGGTGCATTTAACAGATATACTAACATCAGACAGATCTATCATGTGGTAAGTGTTGTCAGTTTGTATCAGGAAAGCTGCTCAGATGATTGACTTAAGTTACCCTGGAAATACCGACTGCTGCTTGATTTGTGTTCAGAATCAGATTCAGATATGTGATTTGCTTCTTACAAATATGTACTCTTTCTTTCCAGAGAGCCACTTACAGTACACATGTGCTAGACAAGAAGTACATGAATGTCCATCAGTTCAATCTCACAAGACAGAATCTTGTGCAGCCTTTCCACATCTCAATTCAACTTGAACCAGTGCCAGGACGGAGTTTCCCTATCTCCTTGCTTATTGGGTGAGTTTGTACAAAGTGCTCATCTCCTTAATGAGAAATTCATGGAAAGTTCTCAACAAAGCTTTTATTACCAAGAGGTTGTGCCCCTTGATATGCTGCTGAAGGAAGAGTTACCTCCCTTGATGTGTTTGTTGGATGTGCCTGAAATTTTGACTCAAACCTAATATTGCAAGGTGAGCAAAGTTTCAGGTGTATCTGATGAGTGACTTGTCTTCAGAGGAGAACAAATGGCCTGATGACAACACAATCAACTCATTTATCATGACACTGATGTCAGCTGCTGAGTGCAGCAAAATTGTCCGAATGAAAATATAGGTAGTCCTCTTACTTCACTTGTAACATTCTGTCATGCTGACATTCACTGTAAGGACATGTACACTCAACATGCACATGACTTGGTTGATCCCAAACCATCACACACCAACAGCATGGACCGTTGATAATATGAATCACTGTATTATATGCCCAGACTGAGTTATGTACAGACCACAACAACACACTTGCACACACTCACTATATTGTTGTACGGTATGTATCTTCTTATTAGTGTATTTGTCACTTTGAAATTGTAAGTTTAAATTATGTGTTTTGTGCCCTTGCTACTCTGTAACACTTAAAGAAGAGTAAGCCAACTCTGCTTGGTTTAATTCTTCACTGCTCATCACTATGATATTGTCGCATTGGTCATTGTGAGCTGAAAATATGACGTCAGTTTTCAGTAAAAAGCAGGGAAAGAAATACTTTTTTTTCTAAGTGTGTCTTAGGGCACCAGACAAATATTTTAGGTGTGCCTTTCTGAAATCGAGTATGCCCACATGTTTTTAGAATAAATTAGGCGTGTCAAGAGGGCACCGAGAACATTGTTTAGCCGTGCCATTTCTGTATTTACCGTGCCATGGCACACTAGTATATGGGGTATTTCGAACCCTGAAAAAGTAATGATTTTCAAGCCTTCTGATGACTACAGAACTTGAAGACTTGAAAAACAGCTTTTGATTTGTATCATGTTGTCTGCCTATGCACAAACTAGTTACCGCGAATCTATGTGCCATTTATTTGATGCTGTTCTATCACTACCCATGATGGATCTGTTACTTGAAAAATAAAATGATCAAGCTCAAAATAAGCAGAAAAAAATACCTGGCTGCATTTGTACTGTTTAATATAATTAAACCTTGAAATTAAATAAAACAAAACATCAAACACATGACGTCAATATTAACAAAAATACTTAAAAATTGAAGTTCAATAATCCAATAGGGACACATTTAATGAAGATATTTTTCATTAGCATTGATTATTAAATCTATTTATTTCAAGCTGTTGTGTATAGAGCTTGCCAGGTACTATAGTGAGGCATGGGTACAATGTGTGAAGCCCATTTCTGGTGTCCCCCGCCATGATATTGCTGGAATATTGCTAAACGCAGCGTGAACCAACTCACTATTGTGAGGCAGCAAAAAATAGCATCTGACAAACATGCTATTGCAAAGCTTTCTTGCACATGCCCTGAATGGAGGAAGGATATATCTGTCTGTAGCTTGTGTTCTTTCTTTAAGCCAATTCCACCACCCCAGCCCCCAGCGGTACTACCTCCGACAGAACTTTGCTACTGGACAGGACAACATTACAGTATTCCTCCCCACGGGAACATTCAATGGTCAGTACATTCCATCCACAAATGCTGTTTCTATATTTTCTTGAGTAAAGTGGACCTTTTAAAATCTATTTTTATTAAATTTATTCTCTATTTCATTCCATATTATTTACGTTTATTTAACGAAATCATGTATGAAGTTCTAGGGCCCCAACCCACTGCAACCATAATCAGATTGCTGCCTTGAAATGAGCGTCAGTTGACAGGGAATGGGTAGATTTATCATAAATGGTACACTTCAACTCATCACAAGTCATATTTGTTGTAGGTTGACAACGACATGTCTGTTTTGTGATCAGAGTGTAGGAAACTCTTCAGTGACATGTCAAGTAGTTACATGCATAACAAATATCCCAACCATAATGATCAGATGTTATTATTTTAAATATTTTCATTCAAATTTGTTACTGAAATAATGCAATATTTGAATATATTTTTCCTGACTTTTTAAACAAAAGTCACAATTGTTTGAAGTTTTGTTTTGGGGTATGTTTTAACTAAACACCAGTAGCTTGGGAGAAAAAGTGTGTACAGCTGATTTGCCTAGTGAGTAAATTGACATGGCAATCTTAATCCCTGGATATAAAACAATGCCTAGCAGAACTGAAGATGTAATTAAAATGGTAAATCATCAATGTTTTATCTCAATTTTCAAATTTTTATTGACCAAGTTTGTTAATGCATGCTCATTTATACCTGAATTCGCTGATGGTATATGATCTAGTTGTTTTCTGCTCCAAATAATCATATATTTTTCTCCTCAAAATACTCAATCCTTTAGAGTGTTGGGTACGTTATGCACACTACTCAAGAAAATATGGAACCAAAGATTCAGAAAAGTAGTTGAAATATCGGGTTCACTATTTTGCATCTATCATTATGTCTTAATCTCACAAACGAAAATGTAGTAAGAGAGAGTTTTTTTTGCCAGTTTTAGCTGTTAGCTGTTCTAAGCTATGTTCAGACTCTACCATATACTATTTTGTCCCATCCTACATGCAGCAGTATAGAGTGTACGTGTCATGTTGTAACCAGGAAAATGATATTAAGAGATAACATATAAATAATCTGAATGTTCCCGTTGGAAATCAGCTTTCTTCTGGATTCTGGTCTCTTTATCTAATGTCGATGATTTTGCAGACAGTGGGATGTATTACCTTGGAATCGTTGACTCACACTACAACGCCGGCCGTCATCGCGAGGGCCAGGTGCTTGCTCGGGAACTACACCTTCTCACTCTGGCTGGATAATTGTCTCTTCTGGGATGAGAAGCAGAGTGCATGGAGTCCTCGTGGTTGCCAGGTGATGGAAGATTCCACTGCCGAGCAAATGCACTGCAGGTTAGTAGAGTCCATTTCTATCTGAGGGCTGTAACTATGAATAATTATGTCTTGCATTGCTTGAATCATTAAATTCGGAGCTGTTAAATGAAAGCAGTATATGATACTGAGTCCTATATTTTATTTATCGTCTGATGATAATGGGTTTTTTCGAGAACTCAAAGGATTACATGTCCTGTTATTTTTGCAGATGTAACCATTTGACTGCTTTTGGAGGACACATTGACCTTGTCGCCAATGACTTGAATTTCATTGATGTTGACAGCTTCTTCAGGTGGGTAGTAGATATTTCTCAATCTAAACATAAATTTAGGAGAAATATACAAGTTAGACTATGGTTGCTTGCGTAAAATCTTGATATGTTGCAAATTATAATACAGTATTTTTGTTTGTGTTTCAGTCTTCACGAGAACCCGGTGACCATCGTGCTTGTCTGCCTTGTGTTTTGTACCTACTTCATTCTGTTAGCGCTGTGCCGACAGGCGGATTTACATGATGAGAAGAAAGGCAGAGTTGTCTACCTTACAGATAATGGAGGCAGTGATAAACAGCAGTATGAAGTTATCATAGAAACAGGATTCCGAATGGGAGCCGGCAGCACTGCTAAGGTACAAGGTCCAAATATACCCAATACGAAATATATATAATGGGATTTCCAGAGTAGAAGAGACCCCTTGTATTTTATTCTTACATGAGAACAAACAGATATGGATTAGATGGGTACAATGTGTGACCTAACGGATGTCCAGACAACATGGGTTATTGTTTATACTATCAACCACTTGTTTTCCTGGCTCAAATTTGATTTATTTGTAGGTCACATGATATGAATGGAGTATCACTGAGTTTTGAATGTGTTATTATCTATATCACCAAATCCTTTCTCTTAAGAAAATATAGAAAGCTGTTGGTTTCCTTGTCGTGACTCAATCAATAGTTTTAGAATATCGTCATAATACCTAAAATCTTTTCTGACACCATGTGAATGGTGTAATTTTTATTAATTTTACAACAATGGTTTGCACTGACAACATTTTGATTTCCATTACACAGACACAAGAAACTCCGCGACAATTTGCCTGAACTAGCCAATCAATATAAAACTCACTACTGTTGCTAATGGAGACTTACTGAATATCCTTGCTCCAGTGAGTGATATTGAGCCTGTATGTTCCAGATCAGCATGATCATTCACGGCGAGGAAGGGATGTCAGAGACGAGGGAGCTGATCAGTGACGACAACCGCCCACTGTTTGAACGCAACTCCAGGGACAAGTTTGTTATGACGTGAGTCCCTTTCACATTCGTCTATACTTAGTAGATACTTCTTTCTGTAATTGTCCCTGGAAGCTGAAAATATCGTAATCAGTCTCTTTTAAAAGCCAAAACCATTAATAGAGTGTCACATTTTCTCATTATAGCTTTGACCTCATTTGCAGGATGGTAACTGTGTAGGTCAGAATAGGATGATCAGGATATTTATATATGGATGACGTGGGTGACGTTAACTCGATCATGACATTTATATCCTATATTCTTACAGGTCTGGATAGGCTTATTATCAGAATTATGTTAGAACAGGATAACTTTGTGTACTTATTTTGTAAAATATTTTCAAAAACACGCAGCTTTGCTTCCAAGATTATATGCAGCAAGTTTGAATTTTGGTTTAAGTATATGTAGGTAAAACTTGACTTTTTACTTACCTATAAATTCAATACATTGTTTTGATGTGTCATTTTCAAAGAAAATTCACAGGTATTGGATCAATCTTCAATATCTTATAATTGAAAATAGGTTCAGATTCTAATAATTCTTGGGGTAACATCTGTTAAATTTTTATTCATTTTGTGAACATATTTCACAGAAATGGTCACAAGTGATAATGCAGTTATGTCCCTTAGTTGTGCCAGAATCCTATGGTCCCAGGTTTGAAGCCCACTCACTCTCCTCCCACATCAATCTGACATGCTGTGATATGTTTCCATAATGTTATACTCATTTTGTGTGTAATCTTTCAACAGTCATCCTGATAGTCTGGGCAAGATCTGGAAGGTGCAGCTGTGGCATAACAATTCTGGCCCCTCCCCGAGCTGGTACCTGAGTCGAGTCCTTGTTCGAGATCTTGTTTCAGGTGAGATGCCATGAGGTTAGAACAAGTGTACTCACTTATCCAGAGCCTGGCAACAATGTAGTGCACAAATCCTCAAGATGAAACATGTTCTTATAGTTTCAAATGTGTACAGACTCTAGGAATTTATCCTATTACTGATTAAGTCATACAATAGAAACTGGACAGTTGTTTCCCTTAGCTGTGGCAGGATTTGATGTGGGTATTTCAGATCTGACCTAATGCACAAATTTGGTTTTAGAGAACTATAACTGTTCTCTGAGGTTACCGGAGAGCCTTCACCACGTTAGGATATCCTCTATTATTAACTGACAAGTTGTAATGAAACTGAAAGCAACTTTAAAGTGTCGTTAAACTTAACTTATGTGCTACTAAGATAACCTCCAAGCTGGGTGGGACGGTGGTTAAAGCGTCTGCTCGTCACGCTGAAGACCTGGGTTCGGTTCCCCACATGGGTATAATGTGTGAAGCCCATTTCTGGTGTCCCCGTCGTGATATTGCTGGAATATTGCTAAAAGTGGTGTAAAACCATGCTCACTCACTCACTCCAAGCTAGGTGATATGAGTCTTCTGTGTATATTACTATATAATGTAGGGTCCAGATTCAGTGGTTATGTAGTCAAAGCAACACCTGATTACTGTACTGTGATCAATTTGCAGGACACAAGTACTACTTCCTGTGCGAGAGATGGTTTGCTGTCGAGGAGGATGATGGGAAGGTGGAAAGAGAAATAATGGCTCTAGATGGAGATATTGGATTCTCAACAGTAAGTAAAACCTCAGTCGATAATTGTGAATAACTTTCTCCAAAGACAATAATGAGAAGAATAGAAGCACACAATTTCCATTTTTTGGTTCCCATAATGCCAGTGTGATTATGGATTACTAACATAGTGAGCAAGATGACATTCAGTGGTTTGGGAATTTCCGTACCAAAATAATCTAAGGCCAGACCAATTTTATTTCTTGTTTTACGGATCCACCTGTTTTATTTTTTCAAGAATAATAAGGTAAAAAAAATTTTCCCTGCTCAAAAAATAAAATCCTAAAGCTTTTATTGGAAAAAAATGTAAACTTACAAGAATTAAAATTAGATTGTTGTTTTGCGCCATATACTTGGAGTATTTAGAAGGAATATTACTTTGACTGGTGATTTTATTTTTTATTTTTTCCCCTCCTGCCTTTAGGTTTTCTGAGGACAAAAATCCGTAAAACAAGAAATAAAATTGGTCTGGCCTAATGAATATTCAGTGAAATTACCAACTTTCCTGGCGTGTAATGGAAATGCATAAGTCATGTATCAATGACACAAGAGATTTATATTGGAGCTTCGGTGAACTTGATCCTTTCTGGTGGATGATTGTGTCGATGATGTTGTAGGTATTCTGGGCCAAGGGCACGCAGTACATGGCAGACTTTCACCTCTGGACGTCACTGATGACGCGCCCGGCACACAGCCGCTTCACCCGGACCCAGCGCCTCACCTGCTGCCTCACCCTGCTTATGTCCTACATGTGTCTGAATGCCATGTGGTACAAACAGACCGAGACAGAGGTGAGACTTGAATGCAACTTGCAATACTCTGTCGTCACTTACCACAAGAATATTACTGTTTGACTGGAGATTAGTGATTACAGACTTTTCTACTACTGTATTGAGGGATTTAGCTTGAGTTCAGTCCCAAGGCACCATTCCTCACAGTGATGTTAGCGCTATGTTGTAAATCAAAGCAAATATGATAACCTTAGTGCCAAGATGGCTTTGTGGTCCAAACAGCAACTGAACCCTTCCTGAAATATATAGTTTAGATGTATCTGTATTATAGCTCACTGTAGCAGTGACTTTTTGTGTTGCTCTGGTAGCTGAATTGACAGAAAGGAAGAGGCTTGAGTGCCTTGGATAACGTTATTTCTAATTTAAAGTTAAAAAGGGGAAAATGCAAACTTTATAAATATTCCTTAATAATGATGTATTTCCAATTTACCTGCCCTCAATTTGGAATCGTGGATAAATCTGTGATTATTACAGTACAGAAGATGGATACTATTATCTGTTGAATAGTTATTGTATCCTTTTTAATGGTGATATTGATAAGTGGATAAAATTGGGTCTCTTTTAAAAGACTCATGGCGAAATAATGATTACTTAATGCCAATTACAGTGTCAGTATAGCTCTTCATAGGCATAGTCTACTATGAGTTATTGGATGTCCCATAATCCCTTCAGGTACGAGGAGAGTTTGGGCTGCTCGATGCATCATGGCAAAATGTGAGCGTGGGAGCCATCATCTGCAGCCTCATCATCCCCCTCAACCTCCTGCAGGGCTTTCTGTTCCGGAGAAGTAGGGTGAGGAGGACACTATACTACTGTACCACACATTACCACTGTGCCGCCCTGTACCACTGCACCACCATGTACTATTCCATTCTGCTGTGTACCAGTGTATCACACTGTAACATTCTTTATTAGCACTCTGGTACACTTTTTAGCTCTGTCTCTCTCTGTATAACACTGTCACACCTTCTTCAACACTGTCCCATTCTGTAACTCTCTATAACATTGTGACCCGTGAAGGTCCGGGTTAGAATATTGATCTTCATTAACCAATGCTTGTCGTAAAAGGCGACTAACGGGATAGGGTGGTCAGCTTCGCTGACTTGGTTGACACATGTCATTGTATTGTGCAGAGCGATGCTCATGCTGTTGATCACTGGATTGCCTGGTCCAGACTCGACTATTTACTGACCGCCACCATATAGCTGGAATATTGCTGTGTGCGGCGTAAAACTAAACTCACTCACCCTATAGCATTGTACCAATATGTAGCACCCTTTAGCAGTGTACCACTCTGTGCCCCTCTTGTGCTCTTGGTTGGATGGTTGGTGTTAACACCTCACTCAACATTATTCCAGCTATGTAAGGAGGGCTGTAAATAATCTAGCGCTCTTAAGCAGTGTGCCATTTTGTGCCTGTATAACACACAATTTGATATAATACCACTTAGCTTCACTATAATGATCTTTTCAGTGTCATTCCATTCAAATTTCCACTTCGTGCTAATTCATTAAAACGCTTCCAAAGTGAATTAATGTTTCCAATGAACATGATAATATCGGTACACATGTTACATGTGGATGTGACTTTCAGGTACGTTACCCAGGCTCCGAGCCAGACAAGTCTGAGTATGTGAGCGGGAAGCCTAGCGAGGAGGTGTCGAGGGAGCACGAGGATGAGACCGTCCAGCCCATCATGACGTACTCCCTGCTGGATCAGTCCATCCTCAACTGGCAGAGCATCCAGGACTGGGCCCAGAAGCAGTGGATCAAGAGAGAGCAGGCTACAGTACACTCCGGCTCCAACAGCGTCAAGACCAGCCACCCCAGCAGCCCCCAGACCCCAGCTCCACCGGTGCTGCTCACTCTCAGGAAAGGTAAGTGATGGGAGATAGCCTAGTAGCCTCTGTAGGGGGTCTCAGGGCATAGGTAATTCACACGGTAGGGTTACCCATTCAACACTGTTCCCCTTTCCCAAAATCTACAAGTACATTTTCCCCCACATTGTCAATGTTGTGTGTGACAAAAAACCCAAGTACAATGACCTTCGCTCAAAGAATCCCTCCCTGGTGATGTTTCTAGGTATGAATCATAAATGAAACCAGTTTGACAGTCTTAGATCAGCATACTGATTATGATATTCCCAAGTGATCGTAAATGGCAATGTTGCTTTCTTTAGCTGTGTAACCAAGACGGCTAAAATCTTTAATGTTGTCAATTTTCCATTGTCAAAGGAAGATATTTATGCATGGATTTTATCCACAGAGGAAGAGACGGATGTAGCATCAAGTGGGTTTGAGGACTCCACCAGCCAGGCTTACTCCCAGGGTGTGGCAGACAAGAACCGGGTGCAGCCTACAACCACCACCCCCTCCCCCTGCCAGCAACACAAGTGTCAGGACTCCTGCCACAGAGGTAGGTGCTCACTAGCAGGGAGTTTGTGGGATACCTTTCCAGATGACATGAAATAGAGTTTAACATTACATTCATGATTTTTCCATTTACTTCCTGAGGCAGGGAAATAACAAGGACCATCTTTTGACTTATTTGGTATCACTCAGCCAATGATCCGCTCACTAGAGGCATTAAACAGTTCCAAACTTTCAGAACACACTGTAAATTGCTATTTGTCTTATTTGGAGACATTCTTGATAGTCTTTGATGGAGTGCTTCGAAGTAAATACTGTAGGTCAAATTAGTCAAGTGACAGTTAATTTTGTAAACACATACTCAAAAAACATTTACCATGGAGCTGAATGTCGGTTGTTATTGCAATACATGAGGTTCACTTTCAGATCACTACCGACACCACACTAGTCGACGGGTCTTCCTGCCATTTTGGTGCCGCTACGTGGCATGGACGTTGTGTGCTGTTATCTCAGTAGGCTGTGCCGGCATCACGGTGCTGTATGGCTTCAGGTGAGTTCACTTCTGTGTACATCCTCTGTCTGTGTCACACAATGTGTTGGCACAAGTTCGTGAATCACCAGACAGATGGCAATGATCTTGCTAGAGACACACCTTAGGGAATTCAAAAATATTTGCAGATGTTCGATGTGTATCTGAAGAACATAGTTCTATAACATCTAAAATATCATAACAGTATGAAGACAAATCAGTCAGTGTGAAGCATTGGACATCGTTTATAACATTGAAACAAAGTGTTACATTAATGAGACAGTATCACTCAGTATAAATCAACTTGAAACATGACAAGTCTACATGATGTTCAGATTGTTGATGTGGTATCGTTGTTGCAGGTTCGGGAAGACCAAGAGCACGATGTGGCTTCAGTCTCTGTACTTCAGCTTCATGATGTGTATCTTCATAGCTCAGCCATTCCTGGTGAGGTCTGCTGTGTATCGCATGTCGTTCTTTTTTAACTCATCCAGTGTGTTCTTAGTCTAGCATTCTTCCAGTGAATTCATCATTTACAATTGGACATGCATTGACACAAGAACACTGCTATCTCTTTCCTCTATATCTCTATATCTTGGCTTGGTTACTTGGCATGAAATGCTATGAAACATTCAATGGCAGTTTCCTTACTCAGCCTCAAGAGTTGTTGTTTCAAGATGAGTTTATTCCAACTTAATTTCTGTGACACAGAATATGGAACCTGTGCTTTCATTGATGTCAATGTATGCTTTTCTGTTTGTAGATCTTGCTGACAGTGGTGTACACAGCGATGAAGCACCGCCAAGATCCATGTGTCCTCGACCACTACGATGACGGCTTTTATGGCATTAACAATGAGTTGGCCCGTCGTCGCAAACAGCGGGAGGTGGAGTGTGAGGAGTGGGAAGAACTTGAGAGGGTGAGATACTCATACTGTTGTATCTGAGACAGGTTTCTAGGATGTCATGGGGCAGGGCACGGCACTGCAGGGCACGGCACAGCCCCTGTACACTGTGTTTGTCTCCCTTTGATTCCAAACACCAAATGTAATAAAGTGTATGTCAATATATGAAGTGCATATCAATATGTGATTGCTTACTTGCAGGGCGTGGCAGCTAGACAGAGGTGTCGCTACCTGAGGTTTGCTAGACCACCTCAGGAGAAGACGTTGATTGAAGCAAGGAAGAAGATCATCAGAGAGAAGAAGACACTTGGCCTCTTCAGGTAATTATAAACATCCATTACTGGCATGTGTTAAAACTACTGATCTTCAGGGAGAACTAGTGGAACATGATGATGATGATGATGATAAATAATGGGATCACAACTCCAATTTCATCATTGATCATCCATATTCCTGTCAGAATAATTGTTACAAGTGTCTAGAAATGGTAAAGTAATATTTTACTGCATTGATATGGCAATGTCAGATTTGAGACATTCTTCTTGTTAAATTTGAGAAGATATTCCATGATATAAGAACGCGCTTTTACAAGTTACAGGAAAGTAAAATGTAGCCATCAAACTTGTACATCAAACCTGTAATGGACATAAGGGATGTTGTAATGTTTGCTGCTGGAGTGTCTAGTAATGACGACTATTTTCTCCAGTGACAGTGTGGTGTTCTCTGTGATGTTCCTCCTGCTGACTGTCATGGCATTCGGGAGAGATACAGCTTCGCCGTTCTACTGCAACCAGGCCATCAAGGACGCCTTTGTCAGGTACGTATATCATGGAGACAACTGAAAGAGATATTCACGGAGAACATTTCTAAACTTTACAAGCCATCGTTGTCATTTCTGATAATGATGTACTGTGGGAATTATGAGGCAGAGGTCATCAGGATACAAGCTTGTTGTATAAAGATCAGGTCACTTTGAGACGAGCGCAAATTCACGTCACCATGCCCTGATCAATTCATCTTTGCTAAAGCCATCAACATCTTAACCTGCCTGTCCCAGGCATGACAACTGCTCTCTGTTGCATTGCTGGAGTATTGCCAACTGTAATGTAAGGCAACGTGTGTGTTACATGCTTCAACTTGTTTGAAACAGTTACGTCAGAGAATTTAAGGTTGAATCAAGTTATTAATAATAACATTTTGATAATTCAAGTCTACAGTGAACATAATAGAGGGATAGTGTTGTTTGCTTATAAATAATGGAAATATATGAGCATATCTCATACCACTAAACATGTTTTGGAAGAATATTGACACTTTATGTTTGTCCTGCAGTGCCGGTGAGATGCCCTTCTCCCAGATCAAGACCCGTGGGGATTGGTTCCAGTGGAGTCAGATGACCCTCTTGGAGGGAGTGTACAGTCAGAGTGTGTCCGTCTCCCCCACTCAGCCCCACAAACAGGTAGGCACACCATGTCCACTGTCACAAACTACCACCCCTTCACAGACACATGTCCTAGTTTATTCAGAATAAATGTCTACATGTAAGAAGATAATGCAAAATGGAACCCAGAACAATGCTTAATCTAGAACTGAGGCAATCTAGATTTGTCTAGTCATTGCTGACGTACACATAAACAACATATTTGCTCCAAGGACAACTTTAGTTCAGCTGGGCTGTCAGAGGTTTATAGTACAGACAAGACATAGCAAGGGTGTTTCTATTATATGTTTGAATGGTTCAATCAAGGAGATTGTTGGCCCATTTGTTGAAGTAATGCAATTTGCAGTGTAGATTCACGTCTGTTTGGCAAGACAGAAATCTTTGACAGTGGTTTCTAATCTCAAATTAACCCTGATTATTTTCTTAGTTTGCAAGCACCTTATCCATGCCTGTAGGTTTAACCAGTATCTGAGACTTGTATCATTTGATAAAATTGAAGAAGTTCTGGTATTAAATCAGGCTCACTTAGTAAATAGTTTGTGGAGCTGTGGAATATACTGAGTGAAACAAATAAGGGAACACCATTTCATCGCAGTGTTCCTTTATATTTATTCTCAGATTCTCACCCACAGTGCAATACAAATCTTGTGAAGAAACCTGGAAAAGAATAAAGGAACACTTGTGGTTTCATGTGTTCCCTTATTTGTTTCCCTTAGTATATGTCTGCCATTGCATTGCTGTACACATTCATTAATTTGTTAATGTTCCTTGTGTTGTGACAAATAACCTTGCTCTGTCTACAGATGGCCATTGGCCACCTCAACAGCTACCTGATTGGCGAGGTGCACGTCCGACAGTTACGGGTGGATCAGGAAGACTGCAGCAACATCAGATACATCACCACAACATCACCGTGTCGGTATCAATACAGCAGCAGTAGGCGGGATGACAGCATCGTGGGCGGCAACTCTTCCTGGACGGATCCTGCCCCCTACAGTTTTCTGTTGTGGGGACAGCATGGCACCTATGACCCAACCGGTTCAACTATCCGCCTCTCGAGGAACAGGTAAAAAACATGGCATATGAAATTATGTTTTTATTTCTCACATCAGACTGGCATTAATGAACAAAAATAATTTTGTTTTTTAAGATTTGTTTTGAAAATTTATAATGTTGTAGGTTATAGTTATTACTTTTTTGTATTCCAATTGTAAATCACAAAATTCATGCGGTTTATGAGAATATGCTTAAATCTGAGTGAAGAATGTTTTCTAATGAATTTACGAATTGTCATTGTTTTTATGCCTTTAGTAGCCAAAAATAGTAACGGCAGTTTCTTATGGGATCTAGGGAGTTACTGATTACTTGTTGTCTGACAAACGCTATTGAATTAATGTGTAATGATGTGCCAATGTTGCTGCTGCAGGTTGGAAGCATACAGACAGCTGCGTGAAATGGAGGCGTCCAGCTGGCTGGATGTCCAGACTCGGGCGGTCATCGTGGAGCTGACCCTCTTCAATGTTCCAACAAACCTCTTCAGTTCAGTCACGTTACTGCTGGAGTTTCCACCAACAGGGGGAGCTGATCCATATCCCATCGTCATGGCAACACGGGTATTCTGCTACATCAGCGCCTGGGACAATTGTGTGTTGGCCTGTGAGGTGAGACCAGGAAGTGGTAGAATAATTAGGGATATGGTTTTGTTAGAATTGTGGCCTTGTGTTCTTCAAATACCCTTTGCACACCCATTACATGCTGTTAGCTATTTCAACAGAAACCCCAATGAAATGCAAGGGGCAGATCTAGGTCTTATGCTCTTGTAGACCTTTTGGCTGTTCAGTTATATTCCAAGGGTCAGATTAGATCCATATACAAACTGTAAGACTTGTTTGATTATTGTCTCGATCCAGTAGCTGTTTTATCATGAACAGCATATTGACCTGAAAAAATCCCTCCTATTTGTTAGATCTTGACTGAGAGACGTAGTGAATCAGTTGTAAGAACTGATATTAGCTAAAAAAAAAAATCCTTTATGCAACAGCATAATATGTGTAAAAGTGATCAGTGTTTATGTGCTTTTTTCAGTTGGTGTTTGTGGTACTGACTCTGATGAAGATACAATGTGAGCTTTGTGAGATTGTCAGAAACCAGGCCAAATACTTCAACAACTTATGGAACTACTTGGAGGTAAGCAGTGTATGAGTTACAGTTAATATTCCTTGTCACTTATAGTATTAATGTAATGATGTGTTCAACAGCATCAGTGAATTAGCTCAGTGGAATCATGTAAATAATGGCCATATTCATACTCCACATGGTAGCCGTTCTTGTTGAACGTATACCCCAATGTGAAAAGACTGGAATGCTGTTACACATTCAGGAATCCCTTCACTCACTTATTAACTTCAATACCAGGATTTCACAATGTTGCTTTGACGGAATGTTTAATATCTTAGGAAATATACTTTATTATTGTCTTTTGAAACTCTCTCTGTTGTAGTTCACCTTTGGCCTGCTGTCCTTAACCTATGTGGTGTGCTATGTGTTCCGGTTTGTGTTGGTGGCCGACATCGTGGAGGACCTGCGCAACACCTTTTACGAGGAGTTCATCAACGTCTCCTTCCTGGCACTCTGGGATGAGGTGTGTGAAGATCAACATTTTCTTTCCTTGCACAAGATGGTGCTTTCCTAAAATGTTTCCCTTTTAACTAGAAAGGGTTGATCCAACTGTTGATGTATAGTGACTTTCGAAGGGCAGTGGCAATATAGATCTGATGGGAAAATAAGAAGTTGTGATAAAGTGACACCGATACCATGTTTGGAACATCAGAAGTTCTGATAATGTAAAACAAGGAAAAATTTATCCATAATCCCCAGCATTAGTGAATAGTGCACCATTCACTTTTAATAATAACACATTTCTAAGTTTTTATCAATAGTTGGATGAATGAGTTATCTCCCTTAGATCTCCAGAAAGTTCCCATCAATCTGTACAACATAGTGGTGACTGTGCTTGACTCTTCACCATTCAAATGGCACCAATACCAATATATTTATCACAACACAAAGAAAGTTCAGTATTTATAATTCCCTCAAAAGTCAACCCTAATAGCTAAGTAAGAGCCTAACAACAGATCATGTTTCACTTTTGATGACTGCTGATGATGATGAATATAAAGTGTTGAGAAGTAGAAGTTTACCACTGTTTGATTTGCCTGCAGATCCTGAGAGCTTTAGTGGGACTGCTGCTGTTCTTCATCATCGTGAAGTTTGTGCCTCTGCTGCGGTACATCACAGTGTGTGGCAAGTTCAGCAACATCTACAAAAGAGCTAGCGCAAGGAGATCATCCTCTTCATGGTATGTACCAGGGTTACACTACTGGTAGGAGGCATACCCATGATTGATAATGATTAACAGTTTAATCCCCAATCAAATGTCTTAACTGTGAAAATACTGACGTCCTGAAAGAGATACTATAGTGAAGTGACACTTGCCTGAATGCAGCTGCGGTATTGAGTTTGCTAAGTTGACTGATCTGTTTTGCTGAAGAAGACCTGGATGTTCTTCAGTTACAAAGTGAAAGTATTATCATCAGAGCTGATGACTTGAACTTTTATACCCCTGAAAGAGGAATTTATTGGAAAGAAAAAAATACTGTTTCTAGCATTTATCTGCTCCCTCAGACTCAGTGAGAAGAAACTGATAGTAACTATGTGATGTATCTCTATTTCAATGTTAACTGTGAGGTCAACTGGTCTTTTAAAGCTTTGTTGAGTTACTATCGAGCCAACCTAAAGGATGTACTGTTCTGTTTTCCAGGCCCTGTTTGCATTTATTCTGTGTGCGTTCACGGGTCTGGGAGTGGTTCTGTTTGGCTCTGTCTCCCTCGGACTGAGGAACGCCTGGTTCGGACTGTGGACAATGACAGCACTGATGGTCAGGATACATGCTCCACCTGATCTGGAAGTCAACAGCTCCCCCTGGTGGCTGATATTTGTATTCAGCTATCTCGTCTTTGGCGTTGGGCTGCTCACAAGCTATGTAAGTGGAGGAAAAGATTTGAATTGAAATGCAGTAATTTATCAAATTTTGATCATAATGTATATTTAGATGTAACTATAATTTAGATGTAACTATAATTAGATAGTTTCAGTGATGCCATATTCTAATGTGTGCATATGTGCCTGATACAGTGAGCATAACCCTTGGACCCCTTGAGTTTAGCTTTAGCTGAACTATTTTCCTTCTGATGTTGTCAGATGGTTGCGGTGATGTCTCGGCGGCTGAAGGTGTACAAGCATGGGGATGTCTCCATGATGGGGATAGTGGACAGCATCAAGTATCTGTACCAGAAGCTGCTGCTGTGTTCTGGCTTCCAGAGAGTCCAGCCCATAGAGGAGCCGGAGAATGTGCTGCCTCCTGTGAGTTGTCTCCCCTCATTCACAGCTTCACCTCATCGCTTTCTGCTTTGGTTTTGTTGACTGTTTTCACAAGGAATTTAAAAGTGGCAGATTGGCCGTAGGTTCGTCAAGAGGGTCATTACTTTTGTTTGAGTAGGTGAAAACAAAAGAGAATATTTTTGTTAAATTTTCTGTCCAAAAATTGTAGTGTTTATGACTAGTCAAGGGGTGACTTCGTTTCCCACATTTCAACTTTCAAGTTTTTTCATTATTGAAATAAATCAATATAGCAAGGAAAAAAACTAATAATCAAAGTTTTTGTCAGATTTGTTTAGATTTGGGTTGGCGTATCTGTAAACAGTATAGTAGCGAAACTTAAGATTGCTCGATATGTGACTGACCTTGTGTGTGTGGTTGCAGGAGTTCACCATGGCCGAGATAGAGTACCAGGTGGATGAGCTGCTGTTCAGGATGAACAACCTGGCTGGCTCTAGCAGCCTCCCGGAGAAACCACAGGGTTACCTCACAGACTCCACCGACGCCAGTAACGGAGCAGGGGATGATGGGATATCTAGTGGCGGGGGATCAGAGGTAAGGTTTACTTGTGGAATGTACCGATTTCATTATTCTTTTCACCTGAACTGAGGGATATTGGGCAGAATTGATCCGAAGTGCATGTATGGCAATACCCACTATACCAACCTCTGATTGGGTGCAGAAAAGTTCACAAGAGCCCCATGTATTTCATATTTCAAGGTCAACAGTACCCCATGCATGTTTATGTGTGACCCCTTTTCCTGTCCCCATGATTATCTCCCCTTGTGAACACCAGGTGTTAAGACGAGTTCCCCAGTAATCCCAGCTTGTCAGAAAAACTGACAGATCAAGAGTGAATGGTAACAACACACAAGCTGTTTAGTTTCGAGATATTTCTGAAATATTGATGAGTTAATTTAGAGGTCCCTGAATTAACACATTTTTGTATTTTTGCCTCCCTGTTTTAGTTTCTGTTACGTTCCATGCTTCAACAAACAACCCTTGTTGTATTCCAGGACCAAGCCGGTGTAGGGACAGACCGTCTGGAGCTGAGGGTACAGAAGATCGAAGACAAGCTGTATGCAAATGAGCCCTACCTGGCCCAGCTGCTGAAGCTAGACAGTATTGGCGCCGATGTGCTGTCCCAGGAGAAGGAGAAACAGCTCAGGTGCGTCACGTTCCTGGAACCTTTTGGTATACTCAACGCCTGAAGCAAATGTGTAACTTGTAAGGAATTATTATGTGGTTGGAAAACATCCAGTCCTTTATACTTTGCAATTCAAACATCATGCAGTATCTTGGGTCACTCTGAGATTTGAATCTGGATTCAGATTCTCAGAAATAGAAAAAGATAGTTTCCACTAATTGTCGATTTACCTAGAAGGAACAAAAATAAACAAGGAATAGAAGAATGTTACCTTAGTTTGTGTGATTCAAGTTCTTTACCCATGGTCTGGTCATGACTGCTGTCTTTTAAGACACTTCTTCTTTTAACCATGTTGTTTTACAGACTTAGTATATATGTGTCAAGTTAGAATACAATATATGTTTGAATGCCTCGAATTTTGCATAGTTCATTAATATTCAAATCAGAGTGTTATGTTTGTCAGGAAAGGATTATAGGTGTTAAAGCTGATATTGATTTGTCCAAGCTAACCATTGTGTTTTTCTGTGTTTCAGGTCTCACCTTGAACTGGAGATCTTCAGACAGCTTCAGATGCAGAGACAGGAACATGGTGGCACTACCCAGTTGCTTAGCAACCAGAATCCTGGTATCACTGCAGCATTGCATGGGAGAAGCATGGAGCGTTCACCATCATCTGCCTCTAATGGAAGTCATAAGCTGCCACACCTAGAGTTGCCAAAAACTAAGGACTTAGGTAAGTCTGTCGGATATATTTGATTTAAGTAATTACAAAACTGTAGATGATGTGATGTGACCACAAGAAGTTCTTACTTGTCATATCATACTACCTTTTTATGTGCCTTGGTCCTTGGCATTCCGATTATGTAAATGAACAATTTTCCTTTTTTTCAGTTGCCAGTCTAACAAAACCTAAACCAAAACCTGGAGCTTCACCAATATTTCCCGAAAGGTCAAGGTCAGATGTAAGGAGCCCACAAAGTCTGGTCTCACCTTCTGGGATACACCCAGAGGCAGGGTCATCAAGTCCAGAGTCTCCTCATAACAAGAGGTCAGGGGACACAAGACCAAAGGTGAAGGTCGGCCCTCCTGTGCCCCCAAAACCTGTCAGTAATCTACTGCTCACCAAAGGCCCATCCAGCAGGGTGGGTAAATCAGGTAAGCCATCGTCGTCATCAGAGAATGCCAGTCCCCAGAGCTCCGAAAGTGAGAAAGTACACCGGAGAACAGACTCGTCATCAGGCCAGTCTGGAAGTATAGAGAGGACTGGAAGCGTGAAACACCCAACCATCAAACCAGAACTCCCTCCTAAACCCACATTCATACAAACAACGTTAGATGAACATGCTCACTTTGACTCCAATAAATCCTTATCTGGTGGCAGCCAGAAACAAAGACAGTTTAAACTTCCTCCAGAGCGAGTCCTCCAGAGAGGGGACCTGTGTGGTAATATTGCTGCAGAATCCAGTTCTGGTTCAGAGCAGGATGCTGCTCACTTCGGTCGACGTCCATCTGGGAAGCGGAATCTCCGAAAGACCAAGTCCCGAGGGAAGGGGAAGGGATCTGGTGGTCTGTCTCCTGCCTTGATGCTGGAAGATCTCACTCTGGACAATCCAGAGATCGAGGATCTGGAGCAGGTGGACATGTTGGAGGAGAACGTCATCCAGGAACAAGAGTTGTGATACCAGTGCTCAAATACAGTTCTTCACCATTCATTTACATTGCAGGATCATGGACAGTTAATGGAATCACTAATCATCTAGACTAGAAAAGAGGACTTGGGTACAGTGGCCTGAGATGCTTAGATTTCATGTGGAGAAAGGCATTTGAACCGTTTGATGGGGTCTGATTATTTCTTCATGTTTGTCAGCATCCAGTGTGCGAATTAGCCACTGGCCTGCTAGCCTGTGGCTAGTAAAAATTCAGTCAGGCCAGTAGATCTCCATAGTCTTTGGCCTGATTGGCAAATGATTTTCATGGTGTCATTGTGTAAATATATCACTCTCTCCGACTTGTTAAGTTATAACACACTTTTAAATCCTGCAAGATTATGGCCTGATAAATTTCATCATAGCAGCAGCTTAATGATGAAACCCGTGTCTACTTTCAAATTTCGGACAAGTGAATTATTTTGTGGGCTAGTAACTTTCAGGCATAGCTAACCCTACTGGCTAGCAAAATTTAGAAACTATTTCGCACACTGTCAGCATCATACGTGTGTTCTTGTGTATCAAATGTTTGGAGAAATATGTAGCATGATTTGTTGTAAATGATCCCTGTGTTGATTCTGACACCAACAGCCAGTGTGCAAGGAAACCACAGTATACTTATACAGGGTCTGGTACTCTGGTCAGCAGAGTCGGGAACAGGAGTTGATCAGATACAGGAACTCACGTAAAAATATTCATTCTATAATGAAATGATTTCATCAGTAAGAACTTACCAACTGAAAAAAATCCCATCGATTTTCTGTGGCATATTTAGAAGAAATGGTTTTACCCATTTCATTGTATTTTCTTGATCAAAGTTTTGATAAGATACCAGTTTATGAATACATACACTGTGTTATGTGTGAGGTCATGAGAACATCTGCAAAAGTGCTGTGCACAAACAAGAACATTGAAATATACATCCATATATTAGTCTTTTTAAATATTTATGGTATTATTATAGTCTGCGAGCTAGTCATGATCAAATATGTACAGACTAGTTGTTATTGTTCCGTCCGTGCTGTGCCAAATATTCAAAGCTGTTATCTGGTTTGAAAGCCTACATCTTGTGCAGATTTCTGCAGGCAAAATCGCCACAGGCAAAGGATATCTATCTTCTTCCAAACCTTAGACAGATGAAACTGATTTAGGTCTCTTTGGGCCAACTCAGTTCTATGTATCTGTATGTATCTTTTAATTGAATTATTGTTTTGTATACCCCTAATTAGATGTTAAGTTATTGGAAATGTTTCCTGTAAAAGGTCCATTTTTGCAAATGACATGTTAGAAAGGAAGGATAACATCACTTTAGTATTTAAGAAACTTAAAAATGCATTTGAAATTTCTTGAGAATATATAACATGGAGTATTTCTCTACATATATAGTTTAAATTATGGAAATATTTTTGTGACTGTTCATGTTACTTTTGTGATCTATGCAAAAAAGATTTATGAAATATTTATGTTGTGACCAGACAGTCATGTTGACAAGCTATGCAAAATATTGATATGCAAAATTGTGTGTTCGTGCATATTTTGCTGAGTTAGGAAGTTGAATGTAAGTAGTAGATTATGGATTAGTTTAGAGCCTTCCAGCCTCCCAGTAGTATGTCATAGATCATGTGACTTCCATCAGGAATTCGGTAGGCAGGGAGACTTCTTATCACCTTCACCTATTTCTATATCGGGAGGGTGGGTGACTTCCTTCATAACTCATTAATATGCAAATGCATGCATGACATTACA